TTTTTTTTTTTTGCTTTTTGGGTCACACCCAGCGATGCACAGGAGTTACTCCTGGTTCATGTACTCAGGAATTACTCCTGGCGGTGCTTAGGGGACCATATGGGATGCTGGGAATCGAACCTAGGTCAGCTGTGTGCAAGGCAAACGCCCTGCCTGCTGTGCTATTGCTCCAGCCCCTGGAAATGTATTTTTTGCACATCAAATTATCTTGACATCTTTGTTGAAAATAAGTTGTTCATGCATTTGTAGGCTTAATTTGACTCTTCATTTTGCTCCATTTTGACAGTGTTGTACTGTCTTGAGTACTGTGACTTTGTACTACTTCTTGAAATCAGAGGCTGTGAATTCTATATCTTATTTATTACTTTTCAAATTTTTTTGTTTTTGTTTTTGTGGTCACACCCGGCAATGTTCAAGGATTACTCCTGGCTCTGCACTCAGGATTTACTCCTGGTGGTGCTTGGGGGACCATATGGGATGCCGGGGATCGAACCTGGGTCATCCAAGCATAAGGCAAACACTCTACTTGCTGTACTATCACTTAGGCCTTATTTCGGATATTCTTATGCGCTTGATTTCATACATAAGATTTAAACTTAGCTTATCAATTTCTACTAAAAAATGTGCTGGTATTTTTGTTTCTATTGGGATTGCATTTAATCTACAGTTCAAATTTGGGAGAACTGACATCTTAGCATATGTATCTTTTGGTACATAGACACAGACTTTTCTTCTTTCATTTAGTTTTAATTTTTTAATTTTTTGCTTCTGCGTTTTATAGTTTTCTCTGGAGAAATCTTGCAAATATATTTTTGTGTGCTAAGTATTTATGATTTTTGATGCCCCATTAAATGGTGTTTATCTGAAAATAAACCAAATGTCTAACAATAAATGAGTGGATAAGGAAACTGTGATTTATATGTCCATGTGTATATATATATGCAAACAAGTACGATTAAGCACTATTAAGCTATGAGAAAATATGAAATTCTGCAGTTTGTCACAACTTGGATGGAACTGAGTGTGTTTTGCTAAGTGGTGTCTGAAAATAAAAGACAAATACAAGATGATTTTGCTCATATGCAGAATACAAAGAAAGGGATTAGATGATTCTTGAAGGAGACAAATCCTGAGACAAGATCAATAGAACTGAAAACTGAAAACAGTGATTTCAATACTATTTTTAAACTATGATATATCCATTTAAAAATGAATAAAAAAATTGAATTTGGTTTGGGAATGAGTAGTAGAGTGCATACTTTGCATGTGTGAGATTTTGTGTTTAATCCCTGGTGCTACATATAAAAAAAGCTGAGTTTCAGCATTTCATTGCAAGTAGACAATAATAGTTGAATTTTAAATATTGCTTCTATATCATGTTACCTTTAGTTAGAGTGCCCCTTTTGTAGATTCTTTAAGATTTTATTTGCAGATTATCATGACATCTATGACTAAGGCCTGTTTTATTTTTTCCTTTCTGATCTGCATTCATATACTCACTTTTAAACTTTTTTCCATAATTGCTAAAGACACTTTCTTCCCTATGGTAGGCTATGTGGAATAAGAGGGATAAAATTAATATTTATGCTGTGTTACTGATCTTACTTAGGATTAACCTATTCAGTCTTTTACCACTAAGAATGATATTAATAGAATATTTTATAGGGAACAACCCTAGCAGTTCTTGGCAGCTACTGGGTGCACTTGGCAAGGCAGGGGATGGGAAAGAGGGGGACAGAATGTGTGCAAGGGATTGAATTTGGGGTCTTGCACAGGTTAGTCATTCTATCTTTTGAACCAGGTCTCTGGTCCTTAATTGATTTTTTGTTTGTCTCAGGGGATACATTGGCAGTTCTTGGGGGGTTACTTCCATCTTTGTGCTCAGGGGTCATTTACTATCGTGCTCAGGGGACTATACAGTGCTGGGGTTTGAATCTGTGTCTACTGCACGAACACATTCAGTATTCTTTTTTTTTTTTTCTTTTTGGGTCACACCCAGCGATGCCAGGGGTTACTCCTGGCTCATGCACTCGGCTCATGCACTCAGGAATTGCTCCTGGCGGTGCTCAGGGGACCATATGGGATGCTGGGACTCAAACCTGTGTCGGCCATGTTGGCTGCGTGCAAGGCAAACGCCCTACCTGCTGTGCTATCACTCTAGCCCCTCATTCAGTATTCTTACGCATTTGAACTGTCTCTCTGCCCCTTACCTGTGATTTAAAAAAAATGCCTTTAATCTGTTTGATGAAGTTTCCTTCTATTTTCAGTCTGCTAAGAGGGTTTTTTTAATCCTTTTTTTAAAACAAAACAAATGTGTTATGCATTCTCAAGTCTATTCTGTATTGATTTTTAATTTTTTAATTTCTGGCTATGGTGAGTTGAAATTATTTACATATCTTAGATAACTCCTATTTGCTCATGGGGCCAGAGTGATAGTACAGCAAGTAGAACATTTGCTTTGCACTCAGCCCATCAAGGATCAATCCATGGCAACCCATATGGCACCCCTAACCCTGATAAGAGTTATCTCTGAGTGTAGAGTCAGAAGTAAGCCCTGAGCACTGCTGGATGTGGCCTTACCCTCATAAACAAAATTTCATTTGCTCATAATGATCTATTCTTTTCGTGTGAAGCTAGATTCAATTAGCTAATTTTGGAAAAACTGGTATATATGTATGTATATATACATATTCATTACATATGCATTTACACGTATACATATTAAAAATTGATGGGGGCCTCCAAGCAGTGCGGGCTGGATGGTCCAATGCCCTAGCTCTGTTTTACAGTGTATACAATAATACATTGTTGCTTGGTTCTGGTGGTACTCAGAGACCACAAGGGCCACCACCTCAAGTACCTGGGGGGCCATGTGGTGCTGCTGATAATAACTTGGGGCTTAGTGGATGCCAGCAATGAGCTTCAGCCCTTTGAGCTTTCTCTCCTGCCCTCTATGCTTTTTATTCCCTTCTCCTCCTGCCCCTCAATTTTTTGTTGATCTTTGTGAGTACTTTATATATCCTGGATATCAAACCTTTATCTGATGTGTGAATGCAATTTTTTTTCTCATTCAGTTAGCTGCTTTGGTTTTTTTTTTTTTTTTTTTTTTTTTTTTAGTTTTAGCTTGTGTTTCTTTTGCCATGAAAAAGCTCCTTAACTTAAAATATAGTCTCATTTACTTATTTTTGATTATGTTTCCTTTGCCAGTGGTTTCAGATCATTGATGGCACCTTTAAGAATCAAATCTTGAAGTATTCTGCCTATACTTTCCCCAGTGTACTTTATAGTTTCTGGTCATATTTTAAGTTCTTTGATCCACTCTGAATTGACTTTTGTGTGAGGTGTAAGATATGGATCCAGCTTTAGTTTCTTGCACATAGTTATCCAATTTTTTCAGCATAATTTGTTGAAGAGGCTGTCTTAACTCCATTTCATGTTCTCAGATACTTTATCAAAAATTAACTTTCTTTTTATATGAGGCTTTATCATAGGGTTTTTGATGCTGACCCATTGATCAGAAGGTCTATCTTTAGTTCAGTACCATGCAGTACTTGATCACTATAACTTTGTAATACAGTTCCAAATAAGGTATCAAAATATCTGCCAATTTCTTCTTATAAATTTTTTTTTGCTTTTGGGGTCACTCCTGGTGATTCTCAGGGTTTATTCCTGGCTTTGCACTCAGGAATCACTCCTGGAAGTGCTCAGGGTATCATATCGGATTCTGGGAATCGAACCCGGGTTGGCTGCATGCAAAGCAAATGCTCTACCCGCTGTGCTATTGCTCCAGCCCCCCCATTTCTTATTTTTCAGTATAGTTTTGCTTTTCATGATCTGGTCTGTTTCCATACAAACTTTATTACTGACTTTTCTAGGTTCTAGAATAATGTCGTCTTATTTGGATGGGTATTGCATTGAATCTATATGATAGCTTAGGTAGAATAGTCATTTTAATAATACTAATACTTCCAATCTATGAACATGAGATATTTTTTTATTTCCTAAGGTCTTCTTCTATCTCCTTCTTATTTAAAGTTATCATTGTATAGATCTCCCACACCTTTTGTTAGGCATTTTAAAGAGTTTTCTTCATTATCAAATACTTGCATTGATAGTATAGTAGGTAGGGTATTTGCCAATCTGGATTTGATCTCTAGCACCTCATATGGTTCCCTGAGCACTAACAGGAGTAATTACTGAGTGCAGAGCTAGAAGTAACTCTTGAGCATAGCTGGGTGAGAGCTAAAACAAAAAAACAAAGCCCCCCCCCCCCCAAATGCCCCAAAACACTTGCATAATTTCTGGTGAGAAGTCTACTAATCTGCTGTAATTATTTACTTGGCTCCTATTTATGGAATGTTTCTGTTACTTTCTGATTGCAGATAGACCTTTTATTTTTGTTTTCAGCAATATTGTATTGTGGTGTGTGTGTGTGTGTGTGTGTGTGTGTGTGTGTGTGTGTAGTGATTTTCATTTTGTTTAAAATACTGAGTTTATTTTATTGGTTTTTTTTTTTGCTTAATCTTCTTGGCCATTTTATATAAAAATGATATATAATTCCTGGCAGTGCTCAGGGGACTGTATGGGGTGGTGGGGCTCAAACCTGGGTTGGCCTCATTTAAAGCAATTGCCCTACCTGCTGTACTGTCTCTCCAGCCTTCATTTATAAAATTTTTTTCAATTGTTTTTATTTTGAAATAATTTTAGATTAAAAATAAGATAAAAAATATTAGTGACTTCACTATATCTGTCACACGACTTCCCCCAATGATCATACTATGTGTACATAATTGTCAAAACTAAGAAATTCACATTAGAAATTAACTTTTTTGTTATTATTTTAAATAATAATATTTTAATAATAAAATAATAATATTTTAATAATAATAATATTTTATTATTATTAAAGATAATGCATGTACATCATAGCAGTAAGGAAATATAATAAGCAGAGTTTTAAAAATCACTCATAGCCCTATGCAATTAACTAACTGTCCTTCAAACTTCACTTTTTTCTGTGCACATATGTGAAATATATATGTACTCTTCCTTTCCAAAAATGTGAAATTCACATACTACTTAGTAACCTTTTTCATGTTATATCCTATCAGGAACCTCTTTTGTACAAATAAGCTCTCCTATTAAAAAGACAGAGACTTACAGATTGGCTCAAAACACAGTGAACAAGCAAAGCACTAAAACTACTATTAGCAACAAGTTCAAAGTAGAAAATGCACAAAGTATATCGGGAAACTAAAAATCAAAAAGAGTAAAATGGCAATGTTAATATAAGAAAAATGAGTGTTACATTAAGTAGAGATAAGGGTGGTTTTCCAACACATCACTGTAAGTTTGTTTCTTACTCTCCTTATCTCATCCAACTCATTCACTTCCCTGTACATATCTTCACTGTTAAGATGCCTGTTGTGTATATCTTCTTTAAATTCCTGGAGAGGCTGAATCAGCCTTTCTCTAAAAGTTTCCTCTGCATTTTCTTCCTCTGGTTCTTTCTCCTCCTCTGGATTTTCCTCAGGCTTTGGCGCTTCTTCAAGCTTTGGTTCACTCTCATTTTCTGGTTTCTCTTCAATAATCTGACAGGGTTTCATCTTGTGTTTATTCTTCCTTTTCCCACTCTTCGTTTTCTTTCCCTCTTTCCTTTTTTCACCTTTTATTTTTCTTGTGCAGATCTGGTCAGTTCCTTCCCGACCTTTTCCAGTGCTGTGCAGCGCCAACAGCAACAGACCAGCCGACCTGAAAAGTTGAGGCAATTTGACTCCTTAGTCAGGTTCCAGGAACCGCCGCCCACACTGCTGAAGGGCTGTGATACACGGACCTAGAAATTAACTCTTAACTAAGCTACAGATATTATTTGAATTCTTCCAGTTTTATATCTTTTATGGTGTATGTTTCTATGGCATTTCATCATGTGCAGAGATTTTGTAACTGATGCCACAATCAGTATATGAAACTGTTTGCCATCAAAAAGAAGTCTCTTCATAATATGCTTAAAATGCTGTTTTTTACATATTTTTCTTCCCCAGTCTCACTTTTGTCTCATTTGAGACTCTCAGTAAATGCATGTGAGAACTTTTTGAGTTTCCCACAGCAGCTGCTCTCTCCCTTTGCCTGTATTTCTCTCTTCAATTTGAATAATTTCTATTAATTTCTATTTAATTTCACCAATTTCCCCCATCTTGAAGTTCTGTATGGATTGCTGTGTAGCTCACTCATCATCTTGGAAGATGTGCTTTAATTTTTGTCTTTTATATTGACTTTTTAATTTTTTTATTTCTTTGTTAAAATTTCCAACAGCTGACTTTCCAACCAAGTCAGACTTGAAAAAAATTACCTCATTCCCCCACCACGTGATTTTATCTTGGGTTTGGTGGTTTTATATGATTGTTATTATAAAAAATGCTAGACTTTAGGGGCAAATGGATATAGAAGATGACAATAAATTATATTTTTTGATTGTGCCTCTTTGAAGGATTGCTCACTTGTTAAGGTGCCAGGAGTGTCATACTTTGTTGTGATGCTTGGGGTTGGTTACATATGTGGCTTTATGCATTGTACTCAGTGGTGCTGGAATCATACTTAGTGGTGTAGGAAAGTGCTTAGGATTGACTGCAAGGCATGAGCCCTGCCACTGAATTTTATCTTAGGCACTCAGTAAATTACACTTTAGTGAAAAAAATGGTTATACTTAATTTCCTTAGTTAGGCTTTTAGTAAGAGGCTGAACTGCTCTAGTCAGTCTTAACTAAGATGGGTTAGATTTCATTGTGACTGTCATTACCTTCACTGCATCACAAGCTTAAATTCCTCCAGTGGTTAGCAGCTATTATTTTGTTCATAGGGTAGAGACAAGATGGGCTTCAAAAAAATCAGTGTTTTTTCTCCACCCTTCATTTTCAACCTCTTTGCAGCATAGAGGGGAATATTGCTTTGTCCCTCCATTTGTTGTAGACTGATGTTATTTATTACTTACTGTCATACTTGTGTTGGAGTTATTAGCATATTCTTTGTTGTCTTAGCAGGTGCACTATATAGGTTTTCTTCCTTTTTTGTTTGATTGTTTTTTGGTTCATACCCAGTGATGGCAGGGGCTTACTCCTGGCTCTGCATTCAGAGATCACTCCTGACATTCTCAGGACACCTGGCATGCTCAGGGAACTCCTGGTATGCTCAGGGAACATGCTGGGGATTGAACCCAGGTTGCTCATATGCAAGGTAAGAGACTTACCCACTGTTCTGGCCCTGGTTTTCTTTCTTCTATGGAGTTAAAATGTTCCCTGGACATTTGGTTGGTGCTGGGTGCTTCTTGATGATAATCTCCTATTACACCTGCTATTACACTGAGGGAAACTTTTTCCAGTTTCTCACTCTGTCATCAGATTTTCTGGTAAGCCCCTGGGAGATGTAGCACTGTAGCACTGTACCACTGTCCTGTTATTTGCTCGAGCGGGTCCAGTAATGTCTCCATTGTGAGACTTGTTACTGTGTTTGGCATATCGAATACCTCATGGGTAGCCTGCCAGGCTTTGCCTTGCAGGTGAGATACTCTCTGTAGCATGCTGAGCTCTCTGAGAGGGGTGGAGGAATCGAACCCGGGTCGGACGGGGTGGCCTCGTGCAAGGCAAACTCCCTATCCACTGTGCTATCGCTCCAGCCCTGGGAGATGACTAAGGAAAAATGTATGAGAAATTACAAGCTCCTCTTGTAGCCGGGCCTCCTACTGGAGCCACATTATCATTCTTTCTTGCATTTGACCTTTATGAATTTGACCTTTATGAAAACTATAGCTTTCTTCTAATCTATTGGTGTAGCAGCTATTTCTCTCTCCTGTGCTCTGGCAAAGATAAAACAGCACTTAGGCCGTATTTCTTTTTGTTGGGATTTGATCCTCTTTGGAATTAGTTTCCTTTGCTTGCTTGTAACTTCAGTTATTTGTTGGGATGAATAAAATTTATGATTTTCAGGCCAGATAAATAGCTAAATAAGCTGAGTACATGCTTCATACATGGGAGACCTGGGTTCTATCTCTGGCACTGTGCAGTACCCCAAGCATCACTGGGAGTGATCTAAAAAACAAAACAAAAAAATTATACTTTTGTAGAACATTCGTTCTCCTGTTGTCAGTGTGGAATAAGACCTTTACTTATGCGTGTATGTCTAAAGCAGAAGTGTAACTCTTTAACATTTATTTTAATACCTTTTTAAGAAAATATTGTATCTGTATTGTGAGCTAGAACCTGGGGACATACAGTGAATAAAAAATAATTACCGTAATTTGGAGGTAATAAAGATAGGACTTTATGTTGAATTTGCTGCAAAGGGAGAGGACGGGGGCACCAAGAATGGCAGGAGAGAAGAGGGAATCAGTGAGTAGGGAGATAGCTGTGTGCCAATGGATAGGTTGACATGTATGAGCTCTAAGGACAGGTGAGAAAACAACATGACCCAGGAGTTACTTGTGGTCCAAAGGAATAATACATTGAGATTTTTGGAGCTAGTGCAGTTTCTGGTCACGATTAGGTCTGAAGATCATTCATGAAAGCTGGTGGCTGTAGTTTTGTTAAGAAAAAAAAATCTTCAGGATAAGAAAGATTAGAAATGAGAAGTCAGAGTAATTAAGATTCACCTAAGTAGCATTGAAATCCTTATTGATGATAACAGAAGAGGCTGAGCGAGGAAACCTGTAAGCAAAGATTTAACATTTTTCTGAGCAAGAGGACAGACTGAAAGGTACATAGATCTAGGGGTGTAGAGTATTAGAGGAGTTTGTAATGACAGGAAAGGAAAGGCTTGAAAATGACACACAGGAACTAGAACTCTTTTCCCATTTTCTGATGCTGAGGTATGTGGAGCTCCTGGGTGAACAGCTGCACATTGAGAGGTGGGGATGGGAAGGGGGGAGGCTGTTGGGAAGGCAACGTCCTCAAAAGCAGGCAGGTTTATAGATCAAACATGATTGCCACTCATTGCCTCTTTTGCAAACCACAACACCCAAAAGGAGAGAGAGAACAAAAGGGAATGCCCTGCCACAGAGGCAGGGTGGGATGGGGGGGATAGGGGATGGGAGGGATACTGGGATCCGTGGTGGTGGGAAATAGGCACTGGTGGAGGGATGGGTATTTGATCATTGTATAATTGAAACCCAAGCACGGAAATTTGTAAGTTTACAACTGTACCTCATGGTGTCTCACTAATAAAAATTAAAAAGGAAAAAAAAAGCAGGCAGGTTTAAGGAAATAATCAGTTATTTATTTATTTATTTATTGGCCACACCTAATGATGCTCCAGGGCTGTACTTGGCTTCCTCTTGGCCTGTTCAGGAGACCGTGCAGTGCTCCATTTGAAGCCGGGCTTCCTGCAGGCAAAGCTGGGGCTCCTGCCCATTGAGCTCTCACTCCAGCCTCCCATACGTTTCACTAAAATGAGGAGGGGAAGGGGAAGATTTTTGAGAAGTGGTAAGTACACGAGGGTTCTTCTCTGATAGATAAATGAATTGCTCTTATGAAAGGTGGGGGTTCATGATACTGCAGATGTTACAAACATATTCGTTGTGTGGATTAAATCAGTACCAAGAATGCAATCTCTCTCCTGGACATCCCCGACCTGGGGGGAGGCACAGAGCCAGCCCTGGACATAGTCTGTTTCTCCTGAAGCAACAACATTGTGTGCATGAGCCACTGTGAGCATTTCTGCACTAAACCTTTAGCGCGCATGCCACCTGATGTCAAGACAAGCTTTCAACAACGCGGCGGTGCCATGGGCTCCAGGTTTTACTGCTGCTGCAACAACCAGGTTGCTAATTAGGCCCGATTGTGAGGGTAGTTTTTGTGCTTCAGACACCTGTCCACTAGGAACTGGACTGAGACCACCAACTCATTTCCCACAGGTCACGGAACAGCTGTCAGATGGTATAATTTGGTCGAGTTCATTTGGAGCTGCTTGCCGAAGCTCTCTGAAGCATTATGCTCTACATAATATGCATGATTAATGCTTGTTTATTTGGACAATCCTGTGTTGTAACTAAAGTGGTGGCCTATTTTATGCCAGTTATAATATACCATTCCATTCACGAGACTGAGTTCCATTGAGGGTATGAAGTAGAGCAATAATGTTCAATCTATTTACTGGGAAACCAACTCATTGCAGCCATTCTACTAGCTGCTTGCTCCATTTGAGTGATGATTCTGAGCTTAACTCTTCTGAGGAAGAGATCTGGCCTCATTTACATTCTGAAGTACCCTTCAGAAAGTGGAAAACATATCTGAAAGCAGCAGTCCTTTTCACAGTGAGGATAGCTTACTCTGTTTTTTAAAAAAGGAAAAAAAAAGATACAGTATGTATTGTGCTTTTAGGGGAAAGTCTTGCTACCTTGTCAACCTGGAAAGTCATTGCCAGCCATGCCTTTGTCTTGAATGCACTTCAGAGACAGTCCCCCACCCCATCTTCTTACCCCTACTAGATACACATTTCTCCCCCCGCCCCATCTTCAAAAAAAGAGCACTCTATTAGAAATCCTAGCTCAGGTTTGGTCCCTGTCTCTAACTGGGCATGGTCTTGGGCATGGTCTTGGACAGGTCATTTTCGCTCTGGACGGCCTTTTGCAGTGTTTGAGTTGATCAGGTGGT